CCGCCGCTCGTTCCGCCTCGCCGCCGCGGAGTGCCCCGCCGCGGGGAGTCCCGCCCCGGCCCCGACGGCGGGGAAGCGACCCCGCCCCGGGGCTTTTCGGGGGCCCGCTGGCCCTGTCACCGGGGCTTGGCCCCTCAGCAGGGCCGGCCGGAGCGCCCTGGGTAGCCGGTGGTGCCCGGTTTGCGCCATGTCTCTCCCGTGCTGGAAATACTTTATTTTATTCTAGGATAATTCATATTTCCAGTGACTTTAATCTTCACATCCCAGAAGTTCATATTCTGAAGCGTTTCACGGACGTTCGTTTTTCGCAGTGCTGCTGGGGAGGGCTCACCTCGGGAGTGGTACGCTGCCGGCCCACCCGGGGCCTGCCTCGCCCCGACACCTGGCACCCTGACCGAGCGATTTCTGGGGCGACCGTCATCCCGCTCCGGGCTGACTTGAAAGAGGCCGGACTGTCTCTCAGAAAGAGTCAGAGGAACAAAATGTAAAAGGTTGCTGGAAAGGTACTACCAAACAGGGAATGAAGATGTGTCGGAGGACTGAGCTCTGTGGATGAGAAATTTCGGAGCGTTATCCGGTGCCCATCCTTCCAAACATTTAAACGATTTGCTGCATACTAGAGGTTATTTGTATTCCCCAGTACTTCATGGGCGGTAATTAGTACAGGTCCGGCAAATTCTTTGCTAAACTTCTTTGACAAAAAGACAGGGCTCCGGTGTAAAAAAAGAAATAAATGGCAGAATGCTCTCTTCCAGTCACACACACTGAAGTTTTCACCAGGTATCCAGTACTGAAAATAAGTTGTTTCCAGAAAACTGATATTTAAAGAGGCCAGAACAGCTACTTATTTCCTCACAAGCAGTCATACGAACAGCATGCTCAGTGTGGAGCTAAGAGTCATTTGGAACAGGCTCATTAAAAGCCTGCTGCTCCTACTGGTCTCGGGGAATCAGTTTCGGAAGAGCTTTTTTAGCCTCCTGAATGGGAAAAGCTTCACACAGTTTCCATATGTCAGATCAGACTGTCCTGCTGTTTGAGCTTCTAATTGTGCTTTCCCTGGCAGCAAGGTGCTCTGCTCCTGTACTTTGGCTGTTTATCTTGGCAGCCAAACATTCAGTTGTAGATACAGATTTTGCAAATAAGCTGGGTTTTTTTTCCTTATTAGGAAAAAAATAGGGTTTTTAATTAGGGGAAAAAAATTTTTTTACTCTGAGTTTGCCCTTTCCTCTATTGCTTAGCGAAATCTTGTGATCTGATACTGTCTTTGGTAACCTGATCCTGAAATCCACAACCTTTGGTTAAATAGGTGCTTTTGACGTCTCCATGGTTTGCTTGTATTTGCTGGATAGATTTATTTATTATTGTTGTCCTGTTCTGAAAGCTGCTTTGTTTGTTTTCAGCAGTGCTGAACCCATGAAAGAGGCAGAAAAGCGGTTATCAAAATTTCTGGGTTACAGAGGAAAAAGCAGAGAAAGAAAAATTAAGTAAATTCCAAACAAAGAAAAGCCACAACTAAATTTTAGTGAATTCGAATTACATCACAAATCATCTTAAAAGTTCAGCATTGTGGGCTCAAAGGTGGTTTCCAGCCCTTGTGTACCCCACCGTGTTTTGTGCACCCCTGTGTTGTGGTAGCAGAGGGTTCCCATCTGGGAGCAGATGCTTCCTCTTACACTGCACCTGAGAGTGCAACATTTCCTCTTTGTTGGCAGAAAAAAAATAAAAGCAGAAATTTTACTTTCATGCAGCACAGATCAGCCTTCCCTTTAATGAAGTCCACTTGATTTGGGGTTTTTAACATACGTGAGCCACAGGACAGACAGGCTACAGATTGCCAGCTTGCATTTCCCAAAAGCCAACATACTTCAGTGTGAGGGTTTTAGTCCCTTTCCCAAGCATGAGCATCCCCATCGCAGGACTTGGTTTCGCGTCCAGTTTGAGCACTGCACAGAGCAGACCTGTAGATAGCAGCAGTGCTCTAGTGCCTGCTGCTCTGCCTGGAGCGCTGCTGAGCACAAAGCACCCCTGAAAGAAACAGCAGAATAAGGTGCCTTCTTGAAAATCAGTGGATAGTTTGGTTTTCTTCTCATCTCCTCACATTTGTCAGTCATCATATACCAAAGTGTGATCTAATTTAAAAAAAAAAAAAAAAAGTCTTGAAGTCTTGCTTGAATAACTGCCCCATCTCATGAAACAAAACAAAACAAAACTAAACAAAACAACCCCAAAACCAACCAAACACCAAAACTTATTGTTTTAACTTCAGGTCATGAATAAACAGAAGGAAAACTACGGCCATCAAAATAGGGAGGGCAAGGCCAATAATGATCAATATGTATGTAATTATCCCTTGTCTTCTGTGTCACGCTATGTTATTACAGAATGCCCTAAATACCAGCAGACTTTAAACTTCAATAAATGCTTTACACTGCAGCTGCCAGGTCTCTCAGACTAGCACGTGCCTTCTTTTAGGACAGTGCATTTGGAGATGATGTGCCTGTGTTTCGGCAGAAATTGTGGGATCGCTAGGCGAGGTTATATCATGTGTCCTGCAAGAGGTCAGGTCCCAGGATCACAATGGCTCTCCCAAGTTTTCAAGTTTTTACAGAGCAATTGCTTAAAACTATTTGAAAATTTTATTTTTTTTCAGATAGGTGTAATTTTGTACTTGAGTTTCAAGATATATTAATGCAATAAAGGACAATTTGGCTTAGATAGCTGTGTGACTAATAAAGCTGGTAAAGAGACATGATTGCTGCAAAAGTGGAATTAAATAACTCCGGTAACTTGGCAGGAAAGAATTGAAACTTTAATTTCTTTCCTTTTACCATTTCACCTCACCTTCTAATAATCTGAATAGATTATAGATAGCTGTGAACCACCCAAACAAACTCTAAAGGGAGAGGTTTCATCCAAATGGAACCAAAAGGAATAGAAATATCACAAAGCCATCGTTAACACTATTGGGATGAGGGCCAGGTTGTGACGGAGCTGTAGCTCATTGAGGGTTTGGAGCTGCTGGATGGGGTTTGTCACTGCACTGAGCAGGAGCAGGTGTACTGTGATGGAGAGCCCTCGGCAGCTCCTACAGCTTCACTCTGCGGTCAGCAGGAGAGGTAAGTCTCCCCTAGAGCAGAGTGGTCACCTGCAGAGCGCAGGTTTCCTATACAACATGGACCTGCTAATTAATTTATTCCTTTTAAGGTAATTGCATCTGACAATTTTGCAGGGTCCAAGACATCTAATCCCTATTACACTCGGGTATGATCCCATGGGATACTGTGAAACCCACTAAAGCAACTATAGAAATCCTTCCACTGTGTTCGCACATGGTATACATGCTAATATAATCTTCTGCAATTAACCTGATTCTTCCCTTCTGAATGTATAACAGATTGTCTTGGAGTGTTTATTGAAAACAATTTTTTTTGCTGGAAAAACACTTGACATACTGGATATCAGCATAGGGGTAAGTTTTCTTTGTGGATTTTGAGGTGCCTGAGGCATGTTTATTTAATGTGTTCCCAGTTTCCATGGTCAACGCATCTTGAAAACATGCCAGCTAACACTACGTTGTCTGCGATCTATTCAGATAGGAAACACAGAACAGAGGTGAGAAAAGGGATGTGAATCTACCCAGGTTCTTAGGGAAAAGCCAAAAGGAAAGGCCGTTCCTTCCCCATTTTCTCCTACAGTTTGGGCTGGCCAGTGTCTCTGCCTCTGAAGATCACAGTAGTTGTGTTGCTGTGAAGGCTCATTCCACAGACTTGGATTAAGACCACAAGATCACCTAGGTACGGCAAGAGATGCAACAGCTATGTCCTCCCAAGCCTTTGTAGAGTTTCCTGCCAAGTAGGATGGGCATAGCCATGTCACGTGCGAATATGATTACGTATGGGATCCCAGAGATATGTATTTAATAATTCAGCTTTTTAAGTCTCTTAACTCTGCCCTTGGTAAAAAAAACCCTAGCATTCCCCATACTCTTAAAGATGTGACTTTTGAGACCAAATGTAGTTAGCATTTCTAACTACATAGCACTTTCTCCTCTTGTTTGTTCAGCTCCAGGAAATTCAGCTACCCCTTTAGGGGTAAGTAAGGGAGGATTTTTTTCCAATTTGTGAACTTAAACAGGGACATGGAAATCAGTACAGGAAGTTTTGACGCTTGTTAATTTTTTCTAGTCCTTGCTTGCTCTGTAGATAACCAAGAGCTGGAGCACATACATTTTGAGATGACAGTGGGAGATTAAATGCCTCTAGTTAGAACGGCTGTGTTATTGCATGTGGTTCAGTTTTCACAGATTTAATAATGTGGATAATGACATGAAGATTACACGTTCCCAGTTTTAAGTTCTGCAAGAGGATCTTTCCCAATCCACTATTTAATGCACACGTGTGCTTGAAGCCTTCAACATGCTTTTCAGGTCTCCTCAGACACAATCAATGTCTCTTTAAAACTTCCCACCTTAGAGCAATGTCGTTCTCTCTAAATATATGGGGTGTGTTGCAAATGTTGTCAGCCAAACCCCAAGATAATCTCAAGAAAAAAAGCCAAACATCTAGGAATTATCTTTAAATGAGAAAATTTGAGTTTCAGTGGCTGCTAGTGCCAGTACACACGGGGAGGTGAAGGAGAGCAGATCTTGTTGCCAAAGGCCAGGGTGAAGAGCGCGGATGGAGCCAGGCAGCTCTTCTTGTGGGCCACACGGTGTCTTGAGCCAAGTGACGTGCTGGTGGTCAAGTCTCTGTCCAAGAGGCATCATGCCTGGCTGGCAAGTCTGTGCACTGTGACTACCCAGTAATTAAAGATGTAGAGAGGAGGAGGCTTTCCAGACTCCCTCAAATCTGGGTCTGTGCTGTAGTGATCTGGGGTAGGGAGCAGCATCAGGGTTGGAGACCTGAACCTCCTCACACCTGGAGTCCCACCAGGGATTTCTGCTCTTCAACCCACTTGCTTGTGAAGCCAAACAATAGCTCTGTCC